TCAACCTGTGGGTCGCGACCCCTTTGGGGGTCGAACGGCCCTTTCACAGGGGTCGCCTAAGACCATCAGAAAACACATATATAATTACATATTGTTTTTGTGATTAATCACTATGCTTTAATTATGTCCAATTTGTAACAATGAAAATACATCCTGCATATCAGATATTTACATTATGATTCATAACAGTAGCAAAATTACAGTTATGAAGTAGCAATGAAAATAATTTTATGGTTGGGGATCACCACAACATGAGGAACTGTATTAAAGGGTTGCAGCATTAGGAAGGTTGAGAACCACTGGTTTAAGGTCTCTATCTCATTTACACGCAATTAAACAAATGTTTGAAATTACCGAGCTTCCCATTGAGCTCTGAGTGATAAAGAATCTAGTGATTAGACATCCCCAACCTTTGGAAGCCCACAATCAAATGGAATTAGAACTTTAGTTTGAGAGGTAGTAGGATGATGTCAAGTGCTTGGCAATAAAATCCAAAGAGGCTCCTTATTAGATGAGGAACCTTGACCATAGCATCTGTGAGCCACAACTCATTCATCTGTGAAGGGGATAAAATAATTTCTATCCAGAAGAGTTACTATAAGGATCAGAGTGACAGGACATTAAGAGCCCAGCATGAGCCCAGCCGGCATGGTTCAGTGGTTAAGCGTCGACCTATGAATCAGGAGGTCACGGTTTGATTCCTGGTCAGGGCACATGCCCAGGTTGCAGACTCGATCCCCAGTGGGGCAGTGCAGGAGGCAGCCTACCAATGATTCTCTCTCATCATTGATGTTTCTATCTCTCTCTCCCTCACCCTTCCCCTCTGAAATCAAGATTATATATATATATCCAGCAGCGTGGTATCTGCCATCTGTCAACCTTAAGAAAATATACCCATTATTATTTAGCCCATTTGATCATCACAGCAACCCATTCAGTTTTACAAGAGGAACAGATTAAAAGATTTAAGAGATTTGCCCAAGTTCCATAGTTGGGCTGATATTTCTATCTTCTGGCTTCCCAGTGCTCTTTTTCATTAATGTAACTAGTAAAAATGGGTTACAATGCAAAATCCAGTTAAGTTTCTCTCTATCCCATGTCCCCAATAAAAAACTTTCCTTTTTCTTATGAGCAAGCAAAGTGCCTTTACTTAAGGAAGGATGTTGTATAGTGGTCTCCAAAATAGGACACATAAGCCCCAGAGGTGTGCAAGGAAGAAGAAACTTTTAGAATATCTAATTATATTTCATCTTTCTTAATTCCTTTTTTGCATATCTCTAATAATTTGCTTGTAGTATTGGTATTAGTACACAAGTACAAGTGTATAATTTCTAAATAGATTGATAGTCTTATAGTAGAGATCTGTGCTTAAAAATCTTGAAAACAGTGTGTTATTTTAAAAATTGGCCTGGCCGGCGTGGCTCAGTGGTTGAGCATCGATCTATGTACTAGAAGGTCATGGTTCGATACCGGTCAGAGCACTTGTGCCAGTTGCGGGCTCAATCCCCAGTGTGGGGCATGCATTAGGCAGCCAATCAATGATTCTCTCTCATCATTGATGTGTGTGTCTCTCTCTCTCCCTCTCCTTTCATCTCTGAAATCAATAAAAATATGCATTTTTTAAAATTAAAAAAAAAATTTTAAAAGCACACCTGAGATAGCCCTGAAATCTTTCTAAAGAAATTACTGGCAACTAGAGGACTAGTCAGAGAAATGTTATTTTGATATTATTATGATGACCACATTCTTGTGTTCAGGCTCATAAGAAGACATATTACACATAGTGTTTTTAATGTTAGCATATCACAGATTGAAGAAACTGAGATGCTCTCCAAATGCGCTCTTATTTTCGAACAGTTCCAGAAAAATGACATTTTCCCCATGGATAAGAACTGTGTTGCTGTTGATGTCCCACTGTGGCATTCAAAGCTCTTATTATCAAATAAATCTTCCTGATTAATCCAAAATTCTAGTGCTGTGGTTAAAGTAAATTTTTCCACATTATTTTTTCTATGAAGATTCTGTACTTTTAATGGCGCTAAGACACTCCTCTTAACATGTAATCTCCTTATAAACCAGGTTACTTCTCAGTTTTACATTCTCTAGCTCAAATGTTCTGATTTCCTTCAACGGAGATTTCACTTAACATCCTGCAGAGCCTCCCAACTCTTCAGCACATTGGCTCCGAAGATGACCTTCTATATAGCATTGGCTCACCTTCCTTTCAAAGGTTCCCTGGCATTTTATGGCCATATGCGAAGAAATCCCACTATTTTCCTGAGCTTTTCCTCACAGCTTCCATTTTCAAACACTCTATCAATACAGCTCTCCTTTGAGCCATATTACTTGTAGACTCAAAACTGATTTTATCATGTTAATAAGAATATGATAAATAGTGAAATGGGAAGAGAATGAATCTAGCCTTTGGGGTGAGCCAGATGTTTTACATGCTATCCCTTTAATCCTTGAAACCACCCTATCAGTAGAAATTTTTGTCACCCTCTTGCTCTGTTCTCCCTGACATACAAGTGAAAGATACTTTGCTATGTAATTGGGTAAGCGAGTCATCGCTCCTTACTAAATTTATCCTTTTTGTTGTTGTTGTTAATCCTCACAGGAGGATATTTTTTCCATTGTTTTTATTTTTATTTTATTTTATTTTATTTTTTAGACAGAGTGGAAAGGAGGGGGAGACACAGAGAGAAATATCGATTAGTTGCCTCCGTGGAGGGGGTGTTGGAGGCGGGGAGGGAGGAGGGGCAGGGATCAAGCCGCTCTATGTGCCCTTGACCGCAATTGAACCCGAGGGCCAACGCTGTAACAGCTGACCCAAACCAGCTAGGGCTAGACTTAGCCTTGTAAAAGTAGGGTCTTTGTGTTTTATTCATGTTCTACAGAACCGAGTGTGATGCTTATTGCATAGGAGGTACTCGATAGGTGTTGCTTGAACGAATAAATAGACTGAGCACCTACTGTATCCCCGGCATTGTACCTTGGGAGGCAAGTCGTATTCTCTCCATTTTATAGTTGAGGAAATTGAGTCCCAAAGAGATTGAGTAACTTGTGTAAGATCATAAGCTGTGAGTAGCAAAACCATCAGGTAAAGTCATGTTTTACTGACACTCTAAAATCCTTGTTCTTCCTCTTAACCATACCAACGGAATGCCTTCTCTAAACATGAAAAGGAATCTGATATCAAAAACAGTTATTTTAAATACTTGGAAAACAACCAATGAATGACAAAATTTAAATTACAAATTAGAAATTCCTTTTTCTCAACTTCTCTTTCCTGGCAAAGTGTAACAATGTGGCTAACCGCTGGTGGATGGTGATAAGACTGAATTCACTTTTAAAGCATGTAAGATCAAGCAAAAAATATTACAATGTAACTGACCCATAACAGAATACAAATTACGATGTCTTTACTCTCAAATAATAAATGGTCTTATTATGTATGAAATAAATATGTGCCATTATTGATATTTTCATATACACAATTTCCCCCAAGTAATAATAAATCCACAGAAAAAAATATTAATATTATTAAATATTTCTTATGGCATTTTCGAAACATTTAAAATTTTCTAGTTTCAATTAATATTAAGATTTCATAAAATTTGAGCTGTTAGTGATTTTTTTTTAGTAACAGGCACTTTGTGTTTATTTTTCTCATTAATTTCAAATTATCTACAATTACTATTCTAAAAGCACTGATTTTAACTGCAAGTTTTCATTTTTACACTTAAAAATATGGGATGCTTGCCCAGCCAGCATGGCTCAATGGTTAAGTATCAATCTATGAACCAGGAGATCATGATTCGATTCTCAGTCAGGACACATGCCCAGGTTGTGGGCTCAATCCCCATAGGAGGATGTGCAGCTGATCAATGATTCTCTTTCATCATTGATGTTTCTATCTCTCTCTCCTTCTCCCTTCCTCACTGAAATCAATTCAAATATATATTTTTAAAAAATGGGATGCTTTGCCCTGGCCGGTTTGGCTCAATGGATGGAGCGTCGGCCTGCAGACTGGAGGGTCCCGGGTTTGATTCCAGTCAGGGGCATGTGCCTTGGTTGTGGGCACATCCCCAGTGGGGGGTGTGCAGGAGGCAGCTGGTCAGTGTTTCTCTCTCATTGATGTTTCCAACTCTCTGTCCTTCTCCCTTCCTCTCTGTAAAAAATCAATAAAATATATTTTTTTAAAATGGGATGCTTTGTGAATTTTCTTACAAAGTGTATTTATGTCATGTGAAGTATATACCACCCACAAAACACCCTATGTATTATCCTTCATTATTCTTTCTTAACTTTTTTTATTTTTTAAACCCATAATCTTGAACAGTATTTTTAAAATGTATTTTTATACATAATGTTAAACAGTATTACTTTTATCATTTTCACATTTTTTTACAAAAGTTTACCACTTTAAAAAATAATTTGATCCTTATTTATAAGCTTCAAACAACTGAGAATAGGAGCAGAAGGTTTAATTTCAATCATAATATTTTATCTTAATGATACAAGTCATCATGGAAGCATCGTAGTAAATTGCAGAGAAAATACAGGAAACATTTCATCTATTAAGCCAAAATCTTCTGTGATGTGTAAATTAACTCATTGGAAGTTTAGCTTATTGAACTTTTTTATCTTAGTAACTTAATATTAGAACTTTATATTACCATATACAGAGGTAGGCAAAAGCAATTTTACAGCTGTGAGTACGTAAAACTCAGAGCTTATTCTTGTATTGTGTATTTTTCCATATGAACAACTGTAAACCTACATTTGCCCACCCCTGTATAATGCATACATATATACACATATGGTTAAGCCATACATTGTATTTAAATTATGCAAGAATGGGATAATATTTCTGAGCTCCAGGAAGAGGGTTTAATCGCAACAGAAACAAGGAGGTCCTTGTCACATCACAACATCATGAAATACACGTTATATTAAGACAGAAGCTGCTAGTTTAACATTATCATCTGTGGACTTACCTGGTATTCTGAGCGCTTGACTAATAAAAAACCTTCAAAGTATAAAGGTAGAGCAGTAATCTTTAACCTCTCTTGGAAGATCCTTCGAGGGGCTGGTTTCGGGGGCTTCTTAGCCATCATACCCTCTCGTGGGTGTGTGGTTTGGTTACAACTGTATCCAGTTTCAAACAAAATGAGATCTACCTTGAGTGAGAGGAAAAGGCAACTGTTCAAAGAGGAAGTCCCAACTCGATTTTAAACCACCAACAGGACACACACACACACACACACACACACACACACACACACACTTTCCTTTGCTTTTTATGAGGTAAGATAAAACAGGCATAGACCAGCTTTGAGAAAGCAACCTCTGAATAAACTACATGTACTTAGAATTACAATAACAAAATAAACAGAAGATTAACATCACCAGAAGATGAAAGGAACCCATTTGGAGATTCTGGGCTTTAGAGGAGACATCCAGGTCACATTTGTTTACTTTTTGTTTTAATTGTTGTCCATTTTTATCCCCAGAAGGCATGACTTGAATTAACTCCACTTCACTAAAAATTAATTCATAGGATAACTTTTTTGGACTACTTCTGTTGTATTTCAGGATCAAACTTGGTTTAAATTTTAAGAAAAATAGAGCTCTTTATCCCATACCCATTTTGATGGTCCACTAAGCATAAAACACAGTTATGGGAACATGGAATTTTCCACTTCTTTTTGGTCAGTATTGTAAATTCTTGGGTCACCAGTGGATATTTGGCAAAATGTTTGGCAGAGAAAGCTTTAAATTTTCAAACTTTTGTTTTGTTATTTTATGCTTTCTGAGCTGTGTGTCACTGATGCTATGATGCATAGATGAGGTCCTTACTATTAGCTAGTAAGGTTTATAGAGCTTCGCTGGGACCAACATGCAACTAATAGTTCCATGTGGGGAATGGTCATTGAGAGACTGGAGTTAGCTCAATACTGTAAAAGGAATAGCAGAGGAAAGAAACATAGGACTAATTCTGGTTTGTTTTGCAGGGTCCTGAGAAGTTACACCATTTGATATTTCACCCTCAATATTTCAGGAAAACTCTTGATTTAGTAGCCTGGGCCTGAGCATTCTCTACATCTGAACCAGCCTATTCTCAGAAATCAAACCAAGCCAGGCACCTTCCAACTGACACCTCCTTTTTGTTGTTGTTGTTAATCCTCACTCCAGGATATTTTTCCATTGATTTTTAGAGAGACTGGAAGGGAGAGGGAGAGACAGAGAGAAATATCAATGTGAAAGAGTGCACGCACCCTGACCAGGGCCAGGGAACCTGCAACCAAGGTACATGCCCTTGACCAGAAATGAACCCAGGACCCTCAGTCCCCGAGCCGACGCTCTATCCACTGAACCAAACCGACTTAGGGCTGATCCTTCTTTTCTAATGGAGAGAGCACATGGTTTCCTCCACCAGTTGGGGCAGCAGTAGATGTGGGATACCAAATTGTCTACAAAGTGAGGTACAACAATACAGACAGATTATTAATAAATTAGAGAAGAGTGTTCAAGTGTGTTATCAAAATGAAAATAATTTGAAACAGAAATAGGAAATCAAAACTTCAGAATTATTGCCTTGCCTTTAAATTTGAGACCTGCTCCCTATGACCCAAACTTTCAAATGATAAAATCTAAGCCCAACTTAATGTTTTGGAGATAAATTCACACTATTTTTTAGTTTCAATGTAATTTTAAAAATGAGTCAAATAACCAAAGAAAACCTCCCAAGTTAATAAGTGACCAAATCTGCCTGTTGGCAGCTGGTAGCTGATGTAACACAGGAAGGAAGTGAAAGGAGGGCTGAGAACTGAGAAATAAGGAGCCGCAGGGAGGTAGGATGCTGGGAATCATTAGTGGTCAGAATGTGAGAAAAGTAGTCACTGGTTTTATGTCCAGAGAGTGGCATGGGAGAAAAACAAAAAACAAAAACGTCTTTTTAAAAGTGTAAAAATAGAAATATTTTGAGAAATAATGATCTAAATACACCTTTTACATATTATGCAGCAGTAAAAAAGAAGGATCTCTTACCCTTTGAGACAGCATGGAGGGACCTGGAAAGTATTATACTAAACGAAATAAGCCAGTCAGAGAAGGACAAGTATCACATGCATGATCTCACTCATATGTAGAATCTAAAGGACAAAATAAGCTGATGAACAAAATAGATCCAGAGACATAGAAGCATGGAACAGACTGTCCAATCTCAGAGGGAAGGTGGGGGTGGGTGGGAGGGAATAGACTAACCAAAGAACTTGTATGCATATATGCATAACCAATGGGCACAGACAATAGTGTGGTAAAGGCCTGGGGTTGGGGTGGGTGCAGGCTAGAAGGGGTCAGTGGGGAGAAAGAGGACATCAGAAATACTTTCAACAATAAAGATTTTTTTGAAATGTAAAAGTAGGAATATTTTGAGAAATAATGATGTAATTATATTTTTCTTATCTTTATTATTTTTTTTTTTTTTACTTTCAATAATAAAGATAAATTTAAAATTTATCTTTATTTTTTATTTTTTTTTTTTTTATTGCTTAAAGTATTACAAAGGGTATTACATATGTGTCCATTTTATCCCCCCGCCCTAGACAGTCCCCTAGCCTCCCCTATCCCCCAATGTCTTATGTCCACTGGTTATGCTTCTATGCATGCATACAAGTCCTTTAGTTGATCTCTTACCCCCCTACCTCCTGCCCCGCAACCCTCCCCGGCCTTCCTGCTGCAGTTTGACAATCTGTTTGAGGCAGCTCTGCTCTGTATCTATTATTGTTCAAAAGTTTATAATGGTCTCTATTATCCATGAATGAGTGAGATCATGTGGTATTTTTCCTTCATTGACTGGCTTATTTCACTTAGCATAATGCTCTCCAGTTCCATCCATGACGTTGCAAATGGTAAGAGTTCCTTCCTTTTAGAGCAGCATAGTATTCCATCGTGTAGATGTACCACAGTTTTCTAATCCATTCATCTACTGATGGGCACTTAGGCTGTTTCCAGATCTTAGCTATGGTGAATTGTGCTGCTATGAACATAGGGGTGCATATATCCTTTCTGATTGGTGTTTCTGGTTTCTTGGGATATATTCCTAGAAGTGGGATCACAGGGTCAAATGGGAGTTCCATTTTCAGTTTTTAAGGAAACTCCATACTGTCTTCCATAGTGGCTGCACCAGTCTGCATTCCCACCAGCAGTGCACAAGTGTTCCTTTTTCTCCACATCCTCTCCAGCACTTGTCGTTTGTTGATTTGTTGATGATAGCCAGTCTGACAGGTGTGAGATGGTACCTCATTGTTGTTTTGATTTGCATCTCTCGGATGATTAGTGACTTTGAGCATGTTTTCATATGTCTCTTGGCTTTCTGAATGTCCTCTTTTGAAAGGTGTCTATTTAGGTCCTTTGCCCATTTTTTGATTGGATTGTTTATCTTCCTTTTGTTAAGTTGTATGAGTTCCCTATAAATTTTGGAGATTAGGCCCTTATCGGATATGACATTGGCAAATATGTTTTCCCACACAGTGGGTTTTCTCGTTGTTTTGTTGATGGTTTCTTTTGCTGTGCAGAAGCTTTTTATTTTGATGTAGTCCCATTTGTTCATTTTCTCTTTAGTTTCAAGTGCCCTAGGAGCTGTATCAGTGAAGAAATTGCTTCGGCATATGTCTGAGATTTTGTTGCCTTTGGATTCTTCTAGAATTTTTATAGTTTCCTGTCGTACATTTAAGTCCTTTATCCATTTTGAGTTTATTTTTGTGTATGGTGTAAGTTGGTGGTCTAGTTTCATTTTCTTGCATATATCTGTCCAATTTTCCCAGCACCATTTATTGAAGAGACTATCTTGGCTCCATTGTATGTTCTTGCCTCCTTTGTCAAATATTAATTGAGCATATTGGTTCGGGCCGATTTCTGGGCTCTCTATTCTATTCCATTGATCTATATGCCTATTCTTGTGCCAGTACCAGGCAGTTTTGAGAACAGTGGCTTTGTAATACATCTTGATATCTGGTATTGAGATCCCACCTACTTTGGTCTTTTGAAGGATTGCTGCAGCTATTCGAGGTCTTTTTTTATTCCAGATGAATTTTTGGAGAGTTCGTTCTAGATCTCTGAAGTATGCCGTTGGTATTTTAATGGGAAGTGCGTTGAATTTATAGATTGCTTTGGGTAGTATGGACATTTTAATGATGTTGATTCTACCAATCCATGAACACGGTATGTTCTTCCATCTGTTTATGTCTTCCTCTATATCTTTTTTCAACGTCCTGTAGTTTTCTGAGTAGAGGTCTTTTACCTCTTTAGTTAAGTTTATTCCTAGGTAGCTTAATTTTTTTGGTGCGATGGTAAACGGGATTGTTTTTATAATCTCTCTTTCTGAAAGTTCACTATTGGTGTATAGAAATGCCTCGGATTTCTTGGGGTTAATTTTGTATCCTGCTACATTGCCAAATTCATGTATTAAGTCCAGTAGCTTTTTGATGGAGTCTCTAGGGTTTTGTATGTATAATATCATGTCGTCTGCAAATAAGGACAGTTTACTTCCTCTTTTCCAATTTGGATGCCTTTTATTTCTTCTTCTTGCCGAATTGCAATGGCTAACACTTCCAGTACTATGTTGAACAGGAGTGGTGAGAGGGGGCATCCCTGTCTTGTTCCTGTTCTTAGGGGAAATGGTGTTAGTTTTTGTCCATTGAGTATGATGTTGGCTGTGGGCCTGTCATACATGGCTTTTATTATGTTGAGGTATGATCCTTCTACTCCCACCTTGCTGAGAGCTTTTATCAAAAATGGGTGTTGAATTTTGTCAAATGCTTTTTCTGCATCAATTGATATGACCATGTGGTTTTTTTCTTTCAATTTGTTTATGTGATGTATCACGTTTATTGATTTGCGGATATTGTACCATCCTTGCATCCCTGGGATAAATCCTACTTGGTCATGGTGTATGATCTTTCTGATGTACTGCTGGATCCGATTTGCTAAGATTTTGTTGAGGATTTTGGCATCTATGTTCATGAGGGATATTGGCCTGTAATTCTCTTTCATTGTGTTGTCTTTACCTGGTTTTGGTATTAGGGTGATGCTGGCTTCATAGAATGTTCCTTCCTCTTGAATTTTTTGTAGTAGTCTGAGGAGGATAGGTTTTAGTTCTTCCTTGAATGTTTGGTAAAACTCCCCTGTG